CTTTGGGGCAGGAAGGTTCTTCCTCTGGGTGGGCGGACGGGGACGATGCAGTTCTGGGTTCCAGCCAGCCCAGGGTGGCGCTGCCTGGGGCAGGGCCACGACGTGCCCAGACCCAGGTCGTGATCTGGGGTTTTATTCTAGGCTTGGTTGACGGCGCCTGGGTCCTGACACTCAGTTATTGTTCCTTTCAATAAATTGTTTCGCAGGTTGCAGCAGCTACAGGTGTTCTGGGCCACTCACCTAGGAGCCCAAGGGTGCGGTGCCCCTATCTGCTCTGACCTGGCACTCCCTCCTCAGGAACAGCCAGGGGATCTTGGAAGGCCACAGCAAGACCTCGTTGTCCCTGGCTCCTCTCCCAGTTAGCATAACCCAATCTGCTTACCCTGAATCACAGCCCCCGTCTCCCCATCTCACCCACAGCCTCATATCTTCTTGAAAATTATTTGTTTAGCAAGAATATGTAGAGAGCCTGCTGGGCACCGGAGCCCAGGTGGGTCCCCTGAGCGTGCAGAGCACAGTCTCTGCTCCACATTTATGGTCTCTGGATTCTTATCCCCTGACTTCCACACAGCTGGGTCTTCTCCCGGCTGACCTTGGACTACATGCCTTGTCCTCGGAGAGAGCTTTCTTGACCAGTGACTTAACATGAACACCAAGGTTTATGTGGTGCCGGTCACTGCCCATCCCAGCCTCCTGCCTCAGTCTGGATCGTGTTCTAGAGTGTCCTGATCCACATACACTGCTTGAGGCCACAGTGGACATCAGATTACACCAGAGCAGCCAGTACTTATTCCTCTGGAGAGAGATTTCTACTCAGGAGGTGTGGAGAGAGGGGGCAGGCCCTGGGCAGGGGTGAGCAAACAGCCTGTGGACACATGGGAGTGGCCTGCCTAGCCGCCTCCTTACACACTCACCATCCCGGCTCACCATTCACTAGCTCCTGAGAATGAGAACTGGCTCAGGTGTGCCTTGAAGATATCCAAGAGTCATTGTCACCATTGGATTGAGGACTGTCACAGTAGGACAGGATCAAAGAGCATATTAGAAGAGGGAGTTTTCAAATCGCTTCCAGATGATCTATTTTGGAAATCCGCCATGGACCTATGCACCATCCTGGTTCTCCACAAATACAGTGGGCTGGTGGCTGGAGTACTGTCCCCGAGCTCCCTCTGCTATCCTTAAGAGTCTGGAGCCGAGGGTACCCCCAGGACACATGGGGAGGACTCTCCCCCCTTCTCTGCTCCCAGTGCGGCTGCTCCTCAGCTCTGTTGGAGGAAGTCAGAGCCTCCTTCTCCATGTTTTTTCCAACTGGACCACAGCTGCTCACAGGCGGAGGCCGCATGGTCTGGATGTCTGCTTCCCAAGGTCACGGGATGATGGCAGCAGGAAGCTGAGGCCAGCCAGGGGGGTGTAAGCGTCTCTGCTACTGACCTGTCCAGGGCACCATTCCTGTTTGCCGCCTGACTTGGGGCTGTACTAGAAACCTGTATAAGTGGAACTTCACTGAGAGCTAGGGAAGAGAGGAAGAGCCACTGCCCACACCACGGCGAATCCCACAGGGTGAGTGACCTCTCTCCCACATTGTGGGAAAGGCAGTAGCCCACTCAGGACCCCTGGGCCCCACCCACCTGGCTCAGAGCTGGGCGGAGGCTGGTTCTCAGTTCTTACTTGGCTGTAGAAGAGAAAGGTGTTTTCAAGGTCAATCACGTTATTACAGACATAAACAAGGTCTTCTCAGGTGTATTCAGTACAGTCACAACTGAGTGTAAGAAGACCCGGGTGATGACCTGGGAGGGTGAAGTCGTCCGGTCTGAGACAGTGGCAGCATCCGAATCTCCCCTCAGAGCAGGATGGAGCCATTAGCCAAGCTGAAGAATCACTAAAATGCAGGCTCCTGTCCCCTGGGGTGCAGAGTTCTACTTGTGATGTGCATGTTTGTCACAGTGTTTGAGAGGAGGTCTCGCCTCTCTGCACGTGCGTGGAAAGCACGCACAGTCCCTCAGTAAGTCTGCCCTGAGCAGGGCGCAGGGCTTGCTCGGGGTCTCCCAGGGAGTGACAGGAGCTATTTTGGCTATTTTGGGGGCTATTTTGGCTTCCAGGACCAAAGAAGCGAGTGCTGTCCCAAGGGCACCAAGGGTGGAAGTCCGGCTGCTCCTCCGTGTCCCCTTCAGCAGGCAGCGGGGTCTCAGAAGGAGGTTGGACTAGCTGGTCTCTGCATCCTTGAGCCTGAATCCCATACAGAGCCCTTGACACTGCTCTAAATTAGATGCGTAGTACACACCACAGGCTTCCTCATCTCTGACGGCAGTGCCGGGGAACACGGGCCCCCTCCTTAGCACCTGCTCCAAGGGTTGGGTACCTAAGAGCATCATCCATGGCCCATCCTCAAATGTATCGAAAGCCATTGCAAACAGAAGTCGCTTTTTCTTTCTGTTTTCCCTATAGAACCCTTTGGAGTGCTTCTGTGTGCCTCAAAAGGAAGACAGAGAGCTGAGCCGTGGATCAGGGTGGGGCTGCACGACTGAGGGACCTGCTCCCTCTCGCGCCATCTGCCTGAATACTGAAGCCTCACGTGGGGGTGGACTCTGCTCAGCTCGCTTCAGTCCAGCCAACAACTGGGCATGGTGAGTGTCCTGTGTGATCAGTACCCCAGAGCTTAGGGCCTGAAACAGAAGCCTTGAGACGTCGCTTCTCGACCTCGGTGAGGTGGGGTGGGGTGGGGGGCTGCGCACAGGTAAACCCACAGCAACGTCAGCGTCACCCCTGAGCTCGGCAGGCAGTGGCCCAGGTCTCATGTTTCCCTTGTGGTCCTGGGGCGGACGGGGCCAGCACTGTCGGAAGGCTCATGTGGACTGCGTACGGCTGGCCTGGGGAACTGCAGAGTCCAGAATTCAATACATGGTTTCTATCAGACATGTATGGATTTCACGCTGGTGAAGCTGAAAAATCATACATCAAGACTCTGCAGGTCAGGGACCGTCCATGTCTCCCAGCTTAGGAACCCCAGGCGGCTCACCGGGTCCCCTGACTGGGCACCGCAGGCTGTGGCGCTCTCCAGGCAGCCCAGGGAGGACCCCTGTAGCCCTGAAGACCTCGGGTGCTGGCTGGCTGCCGCCAGGCTCCTGGGCCTCTGGCTCGAGACGGCAGCAGGCTTTTCTGAGAAGACTCTGGAAGCCCGAACTGGTGAGGAAGACCCAGAGCAGGGTCTTCTTGTGACCTAATCTCAGGTGTGGCACTTACTCTGCTGTACCTGAGAACTGAGTCACCGGGCACAGTCCACGTGCAAGGCAAGCGGAACCAGAGGGGCACAGACACCAGGTCCTGGAGACGGTGACTGTCACTATGTGAGTGGCTGGGATCACCAAGGACAGCGTGTCTTTGTTCCTGGCCCTGAGGAGCTTAGTGACAACTTAGGACAAGAAGCAGGCAGGTTGGCACATTTATTTTGATAAGATCTACAAACATTTAGAAAGTGTCACGGTGGCCCAGGTGGCCCAGGGGAGGAGCGAACCAGCTCTGCTGTCAGAGGGTGGGGAGACGGAGAACTTTCTGGAAGAGGGGAATAGCACCACTGCGGGAAATGAAGAGCCGACCCAGCCCTGCCAGGGTGGGTGCAGCTGGCAGCCCCAGGGGCCACAGCTCCTTCTCCTCGTCCGAATGCCCCCGAGAGCATCAGGGTTGGCTTGCCGAGCGCTGTGGCTCTGGCAGCAATGTCACTGTTGAAGTCAGGAGGAGCGTGTGTCCGCGCCCGCCGAGCTCAGACAGCCGCACTGCGCACTTGCCAAGATGGCCTTGCAAACGTCAAGTTTTGAGGAAGTGCGGGGAATCGTGTTAATCATATTCCTGAGAGCACTCCAGCAAGTGCTGTTTATCGAAAATATTGACAGGATGAAAGAACTGTCGGCGTGATCTTTCCGCGGGGCTTTCTGGGGCGCCACGGGATGTGGGGCTGCTCTGACGCCAGGAGGGGTTGACAGATCAAGGATGCGCGCGGGACGTGAGGGGCCTGTGGGGCTCGGAGCAGCAGACTCTGGGAGGAGAACACCCTCAGGAGGTCCCTCTGGTCCTGGGGGCCCCGGCCGGTTTCTCACCCAGGAGGAGCTGACTGAGGCCAGCGGATAAGGAAGAGGTCATGCGGATGCCTCCTGCAGGATCTTCAGGGAGGTGGCTCGGGGCTCAGCTGTGCACACTGGGGGAGGCGTGTCCAGGCTCCGTGGGGGCCCCTGGATTTCCAGAGCCCTCTGTTCCTCCCCAGTGAACTGCCAGGGGCACCACCTGCCTTCCCCAGGGCATGCTCCTGCAGGCTGCGACGCCGCACCTCTGATGACCAGGTCAGAGAGACGCTGGTGAGTCGTGGCCCGGGCTCAGTTCTCGGAGGGCCTTGGGGATCTGAAGCCCAGTGGGTCTCTACCTGATGTCATCTGTGTGCAGCTTGGAGGACAGGATCCTGGCTGAGACCCGGCTTGACTCCCAAACCAGCCACTTCCTGGAGTCTGACCCTGGGTGAGTGCAGGACCTGCTTCCCACCGTGGGAAGTCGGCGCCACCCGGGGATCGTGGTTAGTGTTGGCTCAGAGGTTCTCGGTGACGGTGGCAGCCCTGCTCTGGGTGTGCTGGCCAGTGTGGAGATTGCCTCTCTCTCTGTGGAGAGTCTTAGGGAAGCT